CAGACGGAGCGGCGAAGGCGCACTCAACCCGCGGCATGCCTAGAAGGAGGAGCGCCTGGAACATGCTTTCTTGCAGACTCGGCGCGGGCTGATAACCGTGGTGAGAGTGCTGGCGCGTGGACCGACCCCCAAATTTGAGCGGGCTCACTTGCCGCCGCGCGAGAGACCCCCGCGGCCGAGAGGCCGTGCTTGCTGCGGCACGATCTGCACGAGGTGGCCGCGGGCTGCCCAGGCGCGCAGATTCGCGCGCGCATTGCTGGGTGGGGTGATCGGCCCGAGGGGCACGCCGCCAGAGCCAGGTGACTTCGCGATGCGTTGCGCGCAGCGCTCAGCATGACCAGCCGCAGCCGCGCGGCCTGTCACAAAAACACCCTGCCCCGCGCCCTGGGCATGGGGCGGCGGATCCGCTCGAGCGCGGCCCCCATCTCCGCACTGGCGGGAAGGAGGTGGTCCATGAGAGCTGGGTTCTCCGAGGCCAGGCAGGGTGCAATCGCTCTCGAATTTGAGTGCGCTGCTTACTGGACCGCTTCAGCTGGCTTCTTCCGCGCCCGCAAGGGGGGCGCGCGCTCCCCCCCCCCCCCCCCCCCCCCCCCTTCCCCCGACCCCCCTGCCGGTCTCGCTGATTCACGCAAATAAAGCAGGTCGCGCAAGCACTCTCAAGGGCGAAAGAAGCGGGCGCGCGCGCCCGCGCGCGCCGATCGATCGACGCCCCCCCTCCCCCCCCCCCCCATTCCGCTCACCCTCCTCGTCCGAGCCCTCATCCCAGCGCGCGGCCCTAGCTGCTCAGGCCCTGAAGGCGGGGCGCCGCTCCCCCCCATGAACGCGCGCGCCCAGGGCATGGCCAAACATCGCGCCTCCTCAGCGAGATCGCCCCATTTCCTCCGAGCCTCCCCGCAGAACAAGTCTCCCCCTACTTCAGGGGCTGCGCCGCTGGCACCCTTCCCGGTCCTTCTACAGTCTGTGAGTGCATATAGACATGCGAAAATGCATGCGGACCTAGAGCCGAGTAGACCAGGGAATGATCAAGCTCCCACCTGCACTTCGCTGCCTCTAGAGGACGGAGCGGCTGTGACGCCTACTTCTGGCACCGAATTAATGAACTTGCCTCCTCTGACTGCTGGCTGCGGCTGCTGCGCGTCAACTGCTCGGTGGCCATCTGCTTTGCCAGAGCAATCGGGGCCCGGCAGTGGGCGCCTGGGCGTGCGTCCTCGCGGGTTCGCAGCTCACTTCTGGCAGACGTTCCACTTCCTGTGCCATCAGCCCCAAATCAGATGTTTGCACTTCGCCGTTGCCCACTACAGCTGCACGTTGCCCGACCGGCGGTTCTTGATGTCAGCGGGGAGGGGGGGGGTCCTTGAGCGCTGGCCCCGTGCTGGACGAATGACCGACCTCCCGACGCGAAATAACACCCCCCCCTGACCACGTTGGTTCGGCCCTCTAGGTTCAGGAACATGACGCGCCTGACCACAGCTGGGAGGTTTAAAAAGCGTTTGGTCCTAGGGCCCTGGCCCCTCTTACTCATTGATTCCTGGCCAAGCACTTGGCTCCGAACACTTCCACCTTTGGCCCCGATCACTTCCATGGCCGCGCCTGGCAGCTCGGGGCTGCCGGTTGTCGCGCCCAGCTTGGGCATGTGAATCGCTTGGTTCAGGCGCGTGAATCCTGCCAGAACTCCGGCTGCAAACAGTGATAGCGATGCGCCGATGGGCACGTCTTTGCACTGCGCCTGCACAGACAACAACGCGCGGTCATGTCTGGTGGATCACTGACTCGGGTGATCAGTGGCTTCGAGTCTGACTGAGCATCGCGCGTTGCTGATGGCCCGCTGGAAGCGACGTCCTTGTCCAGAAGCACAGGGGCCGATATCGCCGCATCAAGGAGAAACCCTCCGGGGCCCACGGTACATGGCTAGACTTAGTCGCAATGCGTGCGTGGATGGGGCGCGTGGTGGAGCTTGCCCAGCATGCCCCCATGCTCTGGCACTCTGCCTCCGCACTGCGCGCTCTGGCGATCTACCCCGCGTTGCTGAGAACCCCCGCCCCGCGGTGCGCAGGCTCTCCCATGTCCTGCGCGGCCGCTGCTGAGAACTTGCCTACGACGTGGAGTAGGCCAGCAAACGAAAATGCGGAATTGTCATCCTGGGCCAATTGCAAGCGAGGGGGGTGAACCCGCGTGGGCCCGCTTGCCATGGCGCCCACGACGCGGGGCATCGCGGCCACCACCAGGCGCCCCCCCTTAAGTTGGAAACCGTGGCAGCGAGTTTAGGGCGAGGCCCATCAGACAGGCGCGTCTTCTCCTTCGCGAACTCCGCGATGCGCATGGCGACGTGGCAGTGGACTTGGGCTTCGCTCCTCTCGCCTTTGTTCGGGCGCCCATCTCCCGCGCATTTCCCGATGTTGCGCGCGCGTGCTTTCGCGGCGTGAACCAGGGCGCCCCTCGTTGGTCCTCGCCGAAAAAAAAAAAACGCGCCCGAGCGATTCTGGGCCCTCTAGCGACGCAGATTCACCCGGCGGCGGCCGCGCAGCGTTGCGTTCGCTGCTCCGCCGCGGCTGCTGCTGAACAGGAATCCTGGCCAAGCTGGAGGCGCCCCTTCCTCGGCGATATACTAGCCCCCGCCGGGCCCTCGCTCGTTCTCCCAGGTGCTGGTAGATCGCTGCGGCCGGCCCCCCCGCCGCCGCATCCACTTGCCCCGGCCCCCGCCCCCCCCGCCCTGCGCACTCCGATCTGCCCCGCGCCCTCTTGCGCGCCGGGGGGGGGGGGGGGGGGGGCGCGCCCTGCAAATATGCGCGTGGATGTATATTGTTCCCCTGTCTTTTCCTCCGCGCCTGCAGCGCCCCCCATCGGAAGTGCTTGTTCAATGGCAGGAGCGCGCCCGATTGCGCGCTTCGAGCTGCCGCCCGCCCCCCGCGCGGACCCCCTCCGTGGCCCGAGGTAGCCGCGCTTCGCGCGCGAGGCCAAGGGATTGCGAGTTTTTTCGCTGCATTCGCGATTCCCAAATGCCCCCCCCCCCCCACGCACACACACACGCACACGCACACACACACACACACGCACACACACACACACACACACACACACACGCACCCCGCGCGCGCGCGCCCGCCCCCCCCCGCCCCCGCCCCGCCCCGCCCCGCGCGCACGCGCACAATGGCATCGTCATCTGAGCGCCGTTGTTGGCGCAGTCGCGCATCGTCTAGGACGCCTGCGTAGCCCGGCAGGCGTGGGTGGCTGATCGGGCAAACTGCTTGCCTGACAGGGCATCGCTGGCAGGTGTCTGGGCTGCCCGCCTTGCACTTACCTGGCGCCGCCCGGAAATCCAGCGTTTGCGCATCGCCGCGGAGATAGCTTCAAGCGTTGATTGATAACCACTGGGCCAGCGGCGCTAATGCCATGGGCCAGTGCGTTCGCCGCGAAGAAGAAATCGATGAACGAGCGGATCTCTTGTCTGCCTGGTTCTTCTGATTGGGCAAGGAGCGTCGGGGGGGATGGGCGCTTGCCCGCGCGATTGACGTGGCGAAGTTCTACTTGTCCCGGGCAGCGCCATGCGTCCACTTCGAATGCCGGCGCAGGATGGTTGGGTGTCCGTGCTTCCTGATATCATGTCCAGTCTTATCAAGGGCGCCCAAGTCATCACTACTCATGCCGCGCGCCTTTGCCTCTGATTGATGAGGTGCGCCGGGTGGATGGCCAGGGCTCCGCGCGGAGACGATCTCATAAGGGCATCTGCGTACCTTTCCTGGCGCGCCTGCTCGCGTGTCCAGACGGCCGCGTGCCAGTGTGAATGCCCCGCTGGCTGTTATACCTTGAGGGCCTTTTCGGGCCCTCTGCACTATGGACATTTTATCCTGCGCGCTGTCGTTTTCCGATTTCATGTTGGAGAAGCAGCTTGCGCCTGTCCAAGCAGCGTCGTTGAGCCACGATCGCATCCGAAGCTGGGCCGGGTAGACTGTCTCTACCCCTTGCCAACATGTTTCATTCATGGCGCTGGTGAAGAGGTCTTTGGGGCTTGGACTTGCTTCCCTCTAGTGCGCATCGTTGGGGTCTGGCTGGCAGTGTCAAAGGCCCTCCTCGTGGACCGCCGCCACCCCTTCCACTGCTTGACGCACTGCCCTTCGGACCGCCCCACTCCCTTGAGCACCTGAACCTTCTTGGCGATCTGCGCGACTGCTGCCTTGGGGCCATCGCCCGCGCCATTGGGGGAAACGCCCACTTACTCCCGAAGCCCGAACGAGTACTGCATCTTCTCATCCAGGTCATCATACGCCTTGTCATACAGTGTGTTATGCCCTCCTGCTGCCTCGCCCTCTCCCGCCTCTGCGTCCATGTCCATAGCAATTGCTCCTGCCACCTTCTACTCCGCAGCTGCAACACCACCTTCTGCTGAATACTTATCACCATATTATTGGGGCAATTCTGTTTTACCGGGCTGAACTTCGACAGACTGTCCCCATAGGTCTAGGTCATGCTTGAACTCATCATGCGGGTAACATTTGACTGCCACACCGGCGGCCTCCTCACGCGCATGGGTCATTTGTTGGTCCATGAGCTCTGGCTGCTGGGCACAACCCCATGTGTAAGCTGACGTGGCTTTAAAGATAGCTTTGACTGCGCCCATATCATCTTGCATCTGTTGCAAGTAGTTTCCCTTCCATGTGAGTGCCATTTCTTGATGTTGAACAAACGTTGCGGGTGATCAGTTGTCCCATGTGTTTCCTTGAGCTGCATATTATAACCTGTCAAATTGTATCACCAAACTTATGGGATATCGCTGCATCTTGACCGTGATCGTCGGACGATTGGATGGAGGCTATGTAGCGTGAGAGCGTCTGCTTGTGCTTGCCTTTTGTAACGACCTGCTGCTGCACGCTGCCATTACCCCCCTTCGCTTCCACAGCCCGGCTGTCCCTCTGCCTCGTCCTTAACCTCTGCCTTTCGCCTCTGGTGCTCCGTCCCCCGGATGTCCTATGCATCTTCTGCCTTTCCACACTTCCCGGCCCCTCCGCACATGTCGCTTTCGGACTGATGGTTGAACTTGTTGTGCACGCGTCCTGGGCCGTTCCCTGGGGGGGCGGAAGGAGGGGGTACCCACGTCGGGGAGATGGGGAAGACCGACTGGAAACCTATCAATATGACGGTTCAACAATGAACAATGGTAGCATGATTTGGCACATGGCGGGCTACACTTGTTACCACATGAGCTAGAAACCACAACGTGCGAAAACTCAGGGCCATTGCGGGGCATTCGTGGTGGAGGTCGTTTAGGGGCTGGTGCGGCCACGTGTCCTGGCAGCGCGGTCGAAACGACAGGGCTTGTGATGTGTCTTTTGTGAGCAGGAGTGCGCACAGACGCCCCTTTGAATTGAGCGGATCCCACACACGGTTTGAACCAAAATGGCTAAGGAAGGGTCTCCTTGACTCGTCTACCCTCCTCCTCCTCCTCCTCCTCCTCCTCCTCCTCTTCCTCCTCTTGATCCTTCTCCTCGTCCTCCTGCTCCACCTCCTCCCCCACCCCCACCTCCTCCTCCCTCCCCTCCCCATCCTCCGTTTCCTCCTCCTTCGCCTCCTCCTCATCCTCCTGCTCCTGCTCCACCCTATTCCTCCTCCTCTTTCCCCAGGGGGACTGGGGAGAGACCTGGTGAGAACGGGAGCCTCGTGTGGGTGAAGGGCGCGGCGGGGAAGCCGACCACTCTCAGGCCCCCCTGTCGGGTACGTCTGAAGTCAAGGTGGGTCCTCCCCCGCGCTCTCGGAGAGCGCCCGAAGGTCCTCCCAACGGGGACCCCTGAAGAAGTAAGCGGGTCAGCAGAAAAAGGCTTGTTCCACCGCAAGGGTAATCAGCACGAGCGGGTGGTCCCAAACATGCGACGATTTGGTTGTATGCCACACGGGGCCCCCGCAAATACCGATTCTTTCCCCAAGGCCGGTGTTCTATCCCGACTCGTGCTTGACGGCCCCAGCTCTAGCAAAGGCCCCCGGAGGCCAACGACGGCCGAAACCCGCCCGTCGCGATTTGCTTAGAAGCCTCCTAGATCGGGTCCAAGTAGCTAAGGTCGGAGGATCGCGCCGCATCGCCAATGCATCGACGATGCATCGGCGACGTCGGCGATGCGTCGGCGTGAAGAAATTCGGGCTCCACATCGAGCCGCATCGGCGATGCATCGACGGTGCGGAACGAGCCTCCGACCTCATCTGCTCGGACCCGATCTGCCAGGCCGGGACTGTTACGACGCGAACATGTCTGGGGCGAGAGCTCGGCCGGGGAGGGCGGGCGGGGGCGGCGGCGGTGCCACCTCCACGGTGAAGCTGCCCGAGGGGGCCCGCACCAGGCAGGAGGCCCCCTTCCTGCAGGGCTGAACGCGCGGGTTTTGGGGGGGGGCGGCGCGGGGCGGACAGGGCCAGAGGGGGGAGGCAAGCGAAGGGGGGGGAAGGGGTCCGTTCTCCTCCTTCCTCCGTCTTCCGTGCCTTTTCCTCCTTCCTCCGTCCTCCTTCCTCCCTCCTCCTTCCTCCTTCCTCCTCCTCCTCCTTCTCTTCTCCTCCTCCTCCTCCTGCTGCTCTTCCTCCTCCTCCTCATCCTCCTCCTCCTCCTCCTCCTCCTCCTCCTCCTCCTCTTCCCCGGGGCGTCTCAACGGCGGTCGGGCCCAATTGGCGATCGGTGCCCTCGGCCCGACGGCCAGCGGCGACGCGTTACACGGGCCGGCCGTGCCAGGACATCCGCCCCAGAGCTGCACGGCAGCGCGTGCGGAGCGGGTCGTCGTCGTCGAACCATGGGACTGGCAGTCCGCCGTCCTCAACTCGACCGGCACTCTGAATAACTGCCAGAGGGAGCGGCGGCGACGCGCAGTGCGGAGCGGGCAGCGGCGAGGGGAGGGGAGAGCTGGCGGCGCGCCCAAGGGGGGGAAGGCGGAAAGGGCGGACCTCTCTCGGAAAGCTCAGGAGGCCTCTGTCTGGCCCTGAAGGAGAAATGTGTCAAGCCCCCTCCGAAGCCCCACCGCCTTCTGAGGAGACCTGCCCCCTCTCACTCCCCACCGCGATCGGCGCGCGAAGGAGGGGGAACTCGAGGAACGATGATCGGGGGCGCGCAAACATGGATCGGCGATCCATGGATAGGCGCGCGGTCGCCAAATCCATGGATCGGGGGTGATACCCTCCCCAAAATGCGGCCGGTGCCGCCTCGCTGGGCGGCTGAAGTCCACGACTTCCCATGGAAACGGGACCCGTCGCTGATCCACGCCACCTTAATCCATGTTTGCGATCGCCTGAAATGGTCGACTTGCCTTAGCGCTCTTGGCCTTGTGGGGGGTCTGTGGAAGCCTCTGGGGGGCCAAGAAAAAAGGCCCACCTAAACCTCAATTCATTTCCTTACCGAGACCCGACGTGGGCCTGGGGGACACGCAGCTCCTCCCCCCCGACCTCCACCGTCCGCAACTCCCCCGCGGCCAATGCCACGCCACTGTGGTGCCGCACAGAGGCCGCAAACGGGCCGTAAAACTGCAATTGCGGCGTCAGACACCGCGTGGCACTGACGGATGCGGCTCATAAGGATAAGCAGGGTGTCCTCACGTTGCGTGGAAAGGGTGGCGTTCGGTGGGTTCACCATTTGCTCCCACAGGTGGTCGGCGAGGGCGCGCTCGCCTGGCACCGCGGCTTCCCACTTCTGCACATCGGAAAGGCGGCCTTGCGTGTTGCTCTGCGCTGGGCCCTTCTGCGCTTCCTCGTGCAGCGCGAAACGTGGATATCTCCGCGTCCTCGCGCTGCCCTCTCCCACAATGTGGAAAGTCAATGGTAAGTAGAGCAAGTATGCCTGATGATTGACTGAGATGGTGCCAGAAGCTAGCAGGATGCCGTGCCACTATCAATACGATGTTATGGCCATATGTTTATCTTGATGTTCTTCCGGAGGTTGTCTGTGGTTGGCGTTTGGGTTGCAGAATCGTTCGCTTGCGAATGATCTGGCAACTTGCCAAAAACAGTTCTTATGCGCCCACCGATTTCTTGACATGGGCCACAGAGACGTGTTCGAGCCAAGCGGCCACATCCTCAACGGAACAGCGGCCGTCGCAGCAGGCAGTGCGTCCGGTGCGTGAAAATCTACATATCTGCAGCCGCCTCACCAACAATATGAGCCTGTGATCCCCATGAATACGCGCGCCACGCAGCAACGCCATGTATCAACATTCTGATATGGTAGGTAGCGCGGACCCCAAGCAAGAAGTTCTTGCAGTCTGTGCTGTGCAGTCTGAATGGTGCAATTGATTAAACAAACGAGTTGGCACACCCCATGCTCTTGCAAACATCCCACCCACCCACCCGCAGATTGGTTTTCAAAACCCATGCGGTGGCGATTGGGGAGCATGCTTGGCGTTGGCTGGTGCATCTCTGCGGCCGCGCCAACCGTAGCACGCGCGCGCAGCGGCCAGCTAGTTTGGCACCGCCGACGCGGCCGCGGCGGCGCTGACCGCTGGACGCATCCCAGCGGGCACTTCACTGCGAGTCGGCGACTTGGGCGGGCGCGGAATCATGGCAACGCCGATTGCGGTAGACGCGACGACGATACTAGCGATACTGGTGGCGATGTTCGTACCGGCGAAGGCGCGGCCAGTGCGGGCGACGATGTCGATCACGCCGACGAAGATGACGGCGCCCTCGCGCCGGCGATGGAACTTTTGGAAAGAATTCGACATGCGCGCGCGGCCGACGCGCGAGAGTGGCCCGCATGGTTTTATTTGACACCGATCGTGCCCCCCCCCCGCACGCGCGCAAGGGCGCGCGAATGTTGCCGGCATGCGGCGCTGAAACACCGATGGCTTCCTCAAGCATTCGCAAGAGCGCGCGCCAGTTTTTGTTGAAAACTGATGTTGCGAAACCTTGTGTTTTTGAATGTATGTTGGACATTCGGTTTTGAAGTCGTTACGAAGCCGAAGGTCTTTCAAGGATCTCAGCATGCGCGCGCGACGACGCGAGCGTGCACTTCATCTCATGCGTTGCGAAAGATTATCGCGACGGCACGCGCGCAAGGGCGTTCGAACGATTTCGACATGTGCTCGCGCGAAGCTCGTTTGGTAATAGTTTCTGGAAATGTTGAAAAACCTATGGATCTCTTAAGTATTCTCAAGAACGCGCGCACAAGCATTGTTTGAACATCCGTGTTGCGAATCCCTCCGTGTTTATCTGACTTGTTTGACGTTCGATTCTGGAATCACTACGAAAGTAAAGGTTTTGGTTTGAAAGATTTTGGCATGCGCGCGCGGCGGCGCGTGCGTGTGCACTTCGTCATGTATTCTGCAAGGGATGTTTGAACATTTGTGGTTTCTGATAACCGAGAATGCGCGCATACGGTGCGGCGACGGCGGCGGCGACGGGCGGCACCGAGGGGGACGGCAAGCCCTGGTCCCGAGACGAGCGTCGGCGACGGACGGCGACGGGTGGCACCGCCCGCAAAAGCCGGCCTTGGTCCCGAGATGTTTAAGGGAAATGTAAAAAACTAAGTGCAAGCACTGTTTGGGGAATAGTGGTATCTGTCTTGCTTCTCACATCATGGTCCCGTAGGGCCTCTCCAAGCACCCCCCTATGGTCAGCCCAGACCAGAGAGGGCACCGACGTACTCCCAGTCGCCTCCACGGATTGTAACATTGCACATGCTGGACTCTGGTGGGTGCGCGCGGAAGGGTTCTGGTAGTTGCTGCACTCACGCTGCTTGCTTATGTTACGGAGAATATGTCATCTCATTGAGCGCCGTGTGCCGACCGTGCACGCAGCATGGATGTGGCCTGGCTGGCGAGCGAGTCTTCTACACAACGCTGGTCGTGCGACAAACATGGTTGACATATGGTGTGCACTGTGTTACCCAATGTTTTACACATGCTTGCGCTGGTTTAGAGGTGGTGTACAAATGGTTTACATGTGCTTTACACTGGTTCAAACGTGTTTTGAGCTAGTTTACACGTGTTTTACACTGGCATACATGTGTGTTACACCTTTCACATGTCTGTTATATTGGTTTCCACGTGTCTGACTCCAGCATGCAAGCGTTGTACATTGGCTACACGTATGATATTTTGTTTCGCATGTGTTCTACCATGTTCCAATCGCTACACCATACGTATCGCATGTTTCACGCCGCGGTCGTGAAGCCCTCCGAAACCAACCAATGGTACCCCTTTCCCAATGCAGAGCCTACCCCCAGAACGACCCGAACAAGAGAACCGAGAATGCCTCGATGCATGGCTCGGGGACAAGTCGTGGCAAGGGTTGTGACCGGGGTTGTGGCGAACGTTTTGCCGCCTCGGAGTGCCCGGATCGGGCGTTGGCAGAACTGGGTTTACGGGGACCTGGTTTAGCGATGTGTACTGGGGGACGCCCCCCCCCGCCCCGTTCCACTAACCGGAACTACCGTCACACGAAAACACCAGCTACGGCAGACCTGGTTTAGTGATTCTGGCCAATCTATGGTCCCCGGGGCCCTACTACTAAACGGGTCCCCTTACCTGGGGTCCTGGCTATACCCGACTGGAGCCCGAATTGTGGACACTGCCGGCCAACCCCTACCACGCAACGCGCGCTGCAAGTGCCGCAGCAGAACGGTGTCGCCACTCCATGTGCAGCGCGCGCCGCGCAGCGAAACCAACAGGCCACCAGTCCGGGGCTGCAGGGAAGCTGCCAACATGGCTACCGAGCCTTCGACGACGTCCCCCATCCCATCCTTAGCTCCCCCTCGTCGATGGCGAAGCGCTCCGCTCGTCGCCGTCGTCGTAGCGCTGGTCGCCGTCGTCGCCGTAACGCTCGTCGCCCGCGTCGTGGTCGCTTGCCGCCGTCATCATCGTAGCGCTCGTCGCCCTCGTCGTCGTCGTAACACTCGTCGTCCTCGTAACTCTTTTCATCGTCGTCGCAACGCTCGTCGCCCTCGGAGTAGCGCTCGTCGCCGCTGTCGTCGTAACGCTCGTTGCTATCGTCATCGTAACGCGCGTCGCCATCGTCGTCATAACACTCCGCGCCGTCGAAACCGCAACAGTCGTCGCCGTCATCGTCGCAACGCTCGTCGCCCTCGTCGTCGGAACACCCGCCGTCGCAATGCTCGCCAACGTCGTCGTCGTAGCGCTAGTCGTCCTCGCCGTCGAGGTTAGAGCCCTGGATTTTCAGCCACGTTCGCGGGACAAACCAGAGCATATCCCTTCCTTCTTTCCTCCCCTGCCCCTTCCCTCCACCCCATGATCCCCTGTGTGAGTGGAAGTCTGCAAGGGCCCAATGAACTGCACGAGCAGCCGTCTCCGTACCACGGCCTTGAAAAATCTCAAGGCTGGGTGTCACCCGCGAGTGGGTATTTTCCTAAGCGGAGACACGCCCCG